AAAAATTCACACTGCAAAATTTAGAAGGACTAGTATAATGTGCCATCATAGGCCAATCTCGTTACACGGTTTTTCTTTAATATTTAAAACCAAGGCTGCCACTTGCAGGTTGCTTTCAGCCATTGCAAAAACAGTAGAATTGGCTTCTGTTAAAGAAAATTTAATCTAGTAAGTCCCAGTATGATTCAGTGACTCAAACATAAGAGGAACCTCGGTTCTTTGACTTGTCCCAAATTTTTCTTTTAAAATTTTTATTCTTGGCTCAGTGGCACTGTGTGCCTCACAAGCACAAGGTCCTCATCCCCAGTACCTTTTTATTCTCATCAGTACATGTTTGCAGTATACAATGACTGTTCACTGTGGGGAGTTTGTACATGTACATAACACATCTTAATTCTTTTTACATCTCTTCTCCCAGTGTTCTCAAGTAGTGCTGATGCCTTAAGTTAGAAAGGTGAACATATCATTATTACATCCTATTAAGTGGTCAGATATTTCCCAAGTTTCCCTGTAGATGTCCCTTCTTGTTTCTTGGACATATGAGAAGATGGCCTTAGACTGGAATGTGTCCTTTAATGTCTTATAATAGTATTTAGAAATGCAATTCCTATTTTTAAGGTCCATCTAAGAAATGAGTGCAATGCTCTAATACAATGGGAGTGGTTCACACATATGTTAATGACATTCCTGGGAAATTCTGTGTTCATTAATAACCATATGAAAGTGATTCTTAATTATGAAGGACTGTCTTGTGGTGTGTTGGAAGATATTTAGCATTTCTGGTTGGCCCTTGCCAACTGAATCCCTCTACTGTGCTCTAATAATATGGCTGCTAAAAACATTCTTCATTATTCCCAGGGTACCCCAATTGAGAATTAGAATACATTAGTCAAGGTTCATCTTCAGTATGCAAGGAGCCAAGCATCCTCTGAACAAAATTTGTATTCTAGCAAAAAGGAATAAAAGCTGCTTATACGGGAAGCCCTAACAATTGTCTCAAGCTGTGCAGTAGCATGAACACCAATTTCATTTACCTACTATGACGCTACTAACACTTTAGAAAGATTTTACTATAAGGAATTAGCTAACAATTACGGATCCTGAGAAATCCTACTGGCTAGAGATGCCAAAACACCAATAGTGTAAACCCTATGCCTCAGACGAAGGAGGCATAGAATTCCAACTTAACTTCACTTTTTGTTTTTTGTTTGGGCCCTTTTCTGGTTAGATGATGCCCATACACTTTGGGCAGAGTGAACTGCTTTAAAGTCTCCTTTTGTTACTGCTTCATGAGATCCCAGAAGTAGCTTCACATTTTTTTTTAACTCCAACTTGCTTTTCTTGATTGGTCTTTGCAGTTCTAAAGTAACAGTGTGCTGCTTGTGGTCATGCAAATGAAAACAGTCAACAAATTTTAGCAAAGTACCTAAGAATTAGCATCTTCACTATTTTATTGTGAATTACCACTTGGATTAATTACTCCATGTTTTAACCACACTTACCTTGCTACCTTGATCTTTTTTGCAACAGCAATCAGATTCTCTCTCTCCCAAGGCTGAAAGGCTTCATATATATATATATATAGTCCCGCACTACCTTCCCTTGCCATTTTTATCTTGTGGCCTTTGTCCATGGCAGAGCAATCTTCCCAATATTTACTCTTTGGTTCAACCTCAGGTGTTATTTTGAGACAGGGCCTTACTGTGTAGATATATATAGTTCAGGCTGGCCTTGAACTCACTATGTAGCCCAGGCTGGTCTTGAACTCAGTGTGATCTTCCTGCCTTGGCCTCCCAAATGTTGGGACTACATGCATACACCATCACACCTGGCTAACCTTAGGCTTTAAAAAAATAACAATTATGAAATGTTATATAGCTCCTAAAGTCCCTGTCATTTTCTTTTCTTAACTTTTTTTGCCTTATTTCTCTGAAAATACTGGGTCTTATATTTTTGCTTCAAAATACACAATAGGGCTGTTTTGGGGGCATGTCTTTTTATGTACAACAATCACTTGTTTACATACAAAAATCAATGTAGAAAAATCTATATTCAAATACAGCCATATCATCTGGAAAATCCCAAAACCTGAATTCCATTCTTAATTTCTTGCAACTCTATTTTCTGTAGACCCGATGGCCCTGATCTCTCATGTCCAACAACTGAGCTTTCCTTAAATGAGCACTACTTGTCCATGTAGACCGCTCCTAGTGCACTGGCAACATAGCTGTTGGTGATTTTATTTCATCAGTTCATCCAAATCATTTCTTGCAGACAAGCCTTCGTAAAGTTCCATTAAATCAAGTATTAACTGAAGACTTAGCAAACGAGAGGCAACACAAGTGATGACAGTTAAGAATGATGGTCCAAAATGGGAAAAAAGGAGCTAAAGGTGTAGGGAAGGTGGGACGGGTAGGGGAAGGGTAAAGGGGGAAAAGAAAAAAAATGTGAGATAATGAAAAGATGGAAATAAAGTGGTTGTAGATGGGGAGGCAAGGAGGGGGTGAAGGGAGGGCAGGGACAAGGGGAAAAATGAGAACCAAGACTTGTCATGTAGAGGTACAAGATCCCAACAATGAATGTAACTGTACTGTATCCCTAAAATGCACCAGTAAATTCAATTAAAGCTGGGGAAAAGAAAAAAAATGTGAGATAATGAAAAGATGGAAATAAAGTGGTTGTAGATGGGGAGGCAAGGAGGGGGTGAAGGGAGGGCAGGGACAAGGGGAAAAATGAGAACCAAGACTTGTCATGTAGAGGTACAAGATCCCAACAATGAATGTAACTGTACTGTATCCCTAAAATGCACCAGTAAATTCAATTAAAGCTGAAAAAAAAAAAAAGAATGATGGTCCACACAAGTGACAAAATTGCAGGCATCAGAATTCGGAAAACAGTTTCACATGAGTGCATTAAGTACATCCATTATAACACATAAAGATTCATGTTAGATCACAACTGTTCATTGGCAAGTGTATGCATTGTGTGTTGTATCTATACCCCCAAATGGTCATTTGACAGTCTTGAGTTGATCTGTTTACATAAGTGTAAGGCACAGGTATTTACAAATACTAATTAAATATACCTATAAATACTATCCTAATTCAACAGATCCATTGTGTGTTGCAGCAGACATAGCAAATGCAACCATCTGGCTGGATATCTTAACTGGGGCTTAGTTTGGGAATAGAATTTACATTAGGAGCATCCTAAAAAATTCTAGAGCTTATTTTCTAGTTGTATTTTTAGGGAAAAGCAGTAGCATTTATTACCACAATTTGTTCTCCCACTCACTAAAACATCAGCTTTATAAGGCCAAAAACTTGTCTTTCAGTACTTTTTCCTAGAACCTAGAACACTGTTTAGTACATAAACACTAAATCTTGACAAATCTTTTCCACTGTCTAAGTATCTGGATCATTTGTCCACTACAGAGATTCAAGTTCCTTCCGTTTTAAATTGATATATGTTATACCCTCATCAGCCATAGCATGTGGGGGGTGCTATTCCAGATCCAGCCAATAAAATTAATTGATTAAAGAAAAAGAAACCTATCTGGTATTGCAGCAAATATGGGCAAATACAGGTTTGGGACATATGGGGAGACTGAGAAGGTGTGGGATGGTCAAAAGTGCTAGATCATGACACTGGAGCCAGCAAAGCGCTGTGGAAGTGACTATTCTTCTAATAATCCCTTCACAGCAATCAGGACACAGGGACCTCAACTGGGAGGTTTAGAGTGAAACCTGGGATCCTGTCTTTGTAGACGGTGGGTAGGGAAAGATTGTTTTAAAGAATGAAAACACTAATCACAAATAGTAGACTAATTAATGGAATTGTGAATTTGTGTTCACCGAAAAGACACCATGCAGATATTGTAAAAACAAAACAAAGCTGAACAAGATTCGTACTCAAAATTATTATTATTGAGGGGAGGGACGTGTTAGCGGGGAAGGAGGGGTTTTAACCCAGGGCAGTCACACTGAGCTCCATCCTCAGCTCTTATTTATTTCTACTTGGGGGCAGGGTCTCTCTAATTTCCCAGGCTGGGTTCCACATTGTCATCCTCTTCCATTAACTCCCCAGAGTGCTGGGATCGCAGGCGTGTGTCACCACGTCAGACTGAAACATTCCCCATATTTGTACTCAGAGCCATATAAGTACATTTCAAGTACAAATATCGTGATGAAACATGGGCAAAGGCGCTGAAATACCCGGGGAAGGTTCTGGAACCTTCTCCACCCTTCTTGGAGAGGGGCCACTCAGGGGAGACCAACTGTAGCTAAATTAGCTGCTGCCAAATTCCCCAACTGCCGGGCCATTCTCCAGTTGCTCCCCAGAGCCAAGGCTAACGTTAGATGGAGAAGCACACAGGTGTCTACTTAAGGTGCCACCAGCGAGGACCCCCGGGGGGCGGCTGAGACGGAGCCAGGGAGGAGTAGGAGCCCCACGGCACAGCGTCCCCCTCCCGGAGGTGCCAAGAACACAATCCTAAGTCCCTCCTCAGGGCCACAGAGCCAGGAGCGGCCCCCCCACCGCCCCGGCAGAGTCAAAGGGTCCCAGGAAACATCGCCAGCCCCAAGGAGCTGAGACCTAGCACCCTGGGATTCACTCTCCCTCGGGGCTGGGAAAGACCAGGGCAGGGCGAATCTCCTCTCCTTTTGGGGGGAGAGGGTGATCGGACACAGGGCTACCCCCGGTGCCCAGAAGGTGCTCACAGCGGGAGACACCACCGTCCCCATCCAGGATCATCATCCTCAGGAAACGAGGGTACCGCCTTTCCTCACCAGCCCCCCAGAACCGACAGGGCGCCCAAGAGACCTGCTCCCCGTCCCCGTCCCCGCTCCCCCGGTGCTGAGGGCATCGCTCCGCCTGAGCAGGAGTCCGGAGAGATGTGATCAGTCACTCTGGGTGCGTTCTTCCCCGCTGGGCCCAGAGGACCGCCAAACAGAGACCACGCCCCTCCAGAGACATCCCCAGCCCAGCCCTGAAATCCCGACCTGGAAGCGGGTTCCCCAGGTCTCTGGAGTCTGGGCATCCAGGATGGGTGGCAGGAGCGCTTTCTACCAGTGAGTCCTCGAGGACACGCGCTAGTTCCCGGCGTCCTCCTGAGCAGGGCAGGGGGCGTGTCCCAGCAGAGACGCAGCCAATCCCCGTGGCTGGAGTGGGAAAGGGCTGGCCCACGTGCCGCTCCCCCCACAGCATTCGGAATTAGGGAAACTGCCCAAGCCTCTCCTCAGCGCGTCCCTGGTGCCAGCTTGCCAAGACCCTGGGTCAATCTCCAGTACCAAAAAATGATAAAATAAAATCTTAGGGCTGAGGGTGTAGATCTGTGCAAAGTTCCTGGGGTCAGTGCCCACTACACGAAATTTAGAACAAAACCATAAGGGGGAACCCGAGCATTTTTCCCAGAGCAAGGCTAGGCCGCATGACCAGAGAGAGGCACGTGGAGCTAACCAAAAGGGGCACGGACCACCCAGGTGGAGGTTAGGACATTTGGGGAAAGTTCCAGGAGTACTTCACTGCTTCGTGAGGACAGATGAAGAGCACGGCTTAGGAAGGGACAGGGGCACACTTTATTCCCAGGGGGAGAGATGTTAGGCGCCTTCCTTGCACCTGGAGCAAGCGCTGCACACTCTCACAGAGCACGAGCCTGGAAGTGGGCGTGTGTCTGTGGGTGCCGGTGCAGATCAGATAGCGAGGACTGGGAGGGAGGAGAGAGCTGCGGTGCTGCCCCAGCTGCTCCCTGGGTGGCTCATAGGACGCTCATGTCCACAGCTACCCGAGTGTGAGGCTACCCGGAGCTGAGGCAGGCATGGGAATAGGCACCTCGAAACACCATCAGGCTTGCTGTCCTTCAGCTGATCTTTCCATGCTTACTGAATAAACGAGCGCACTCACGTGTGTGTGTGTGTGTGTGTGTGTGTGTGTGTGCGCGCGCCCGCGTGCGTGTGTTTTACTGGACACTGACCCCACGACCTCTGCACTGAGCTACACCAACAGTGCTTTTTTTGAATTTTAAATTTTGAGACAGGGTCCAAGTCACTAAATTGCCATAACAGCTCAACTTATAACCCTCCTGCCTGAGCCTCCCAGAGTGCTGGTGTGTGTGTGTGTGTGTGTGTGTGTGTGTGCGCGCGCCCGCGTGCGTGTGTTTTACTGGACACTGACCCCACGACCTCTGCACTGAGCTACACCAACAGTGCTTTTTTTGAATTTTAAATTTTGAGACAGGGTCCAAGTCACTAAATTGCCATAACAGCTCAACTTATAACCCTCCTGCCTGAGCCTCCCAGAGTGCTGGAATGACAGGCGTGGAAGTCACTTCCCCTCGCGTTGTTCCAAACCTTAGGCTCATTTCTGCAGTTACAAAACACGTAGTTTCTTTAAAATTCATGTTTGATACGCGACCTTCCTGCGTCACCCACGTTGTCCCTGAGCTCTAGGGCTTAAGCAGTCTTTCTGTCTCAGTCTCCCAGTTGTTGTAGCTACAGGCACGCACCACCACATCCAGCTGACATTTATTTTGGCAATGTTTGCCAGTGAGTTCATTGCTTCTATTGTTTTTTAAAAAATCTTAGTGTATATTTTACAATACACAATAATTATATTTGTTTTGGGGAATTGGTGCATATACATAGTACATCTTGATAACTTTTACTTTCTCCCCTATGACGCCCTCTTTCCTCTTGTCTCTATCCCCGTCCTTTCTCCAAAAGCCTGCCTCCCTGATTCCTTCCATCTCTCCTGTATTTTCCTCTTGAAATTACTTATATTTTGGTTTCTCGTGTAAGAGAAACCATGTGATATTTCACCTTCTGTTTCTGATTTATTTCACTTAGGATTATGGACTACAAATCACTCAAACATATCCTTCTTTATGGCTAAGTAGTACTCCACTGTATATAAATACCACATTTTGCTTGGCCATTCCGTCTGTTGATGGGCATATAAGACTCTTCTGTAATTTCCTTATGGTGAATTTTGGTGCTGTTTTGGGGATATACCCAGGAGCAATATAGCTGGGTCAAATGAAATTTCTATTTTTATTTTTTTGCAGAATCTCCTTACTAATTTCCAAAATGGTTGCACTAGTTTACATTCCCACAACAATGTTGAAATGTTCCTTTTCCCCACAACCTTGCCAGCATTTGTTGATATTTGAGTTCCTGATGATAGCTACTCTTACTGGAGTAAGATGAAATTTCAGTGTTGATTGATTTATATTGCTTAGCTTTTTTTTCTCTTTTCCTGGTACCAGAAATAGAATGCAGGACCTTGTGCTTGCCAGGCAGGTGCGGTGCTACTGAGCTAAATACCCAGCCCTGATTTATATTTTTCTAATGGACAAAGATGCTGAACTTTTTTTTTGCATATTTACCAGCCATTTGTAAATACTTTCAAGAGATGCCTATTCATTTTAATTCACCATTTTTGATTGAGTCTTTTGGGGGTGGGTCTATTTTTTTCTGTTCCTTTATACTTTGTAGATATTCATCCTCTGTCCCAGGAATAGGTGGCAAAATTTTTTTTCCCATTAGGTAGGTTATCTCTTCAATCCGCTGGTCATTTCCTTTGCTATGTAGAAGCTTTATTTCATATACAGTAATTCCCTTTTTTGATTACTGGTGTGGTTTCTTATGCAACTGGGGTTCTATTCAGGACATCCTTGCCTATGCCTGTGTCTTAAACAATTTACCCTATTTTATCTTCCAGCATATTTCATGCTTCTGTTTTTCTTTGTAGTTCTTTGATACATTTTGATTTGATTTTGGTATAGGGGGAGAGATATGGGTCTAGAGTTAATCTCCTGCACATGAATAACCACTTTTCCCAGCACTGTTTGTTAAAGTGCACATCTTTTCTCCTGTGTGCTTTTAGCCCCCCTTTCAAAGATCAGACAGCTAACTCATATCTGCTCCACTGATCTTCATGTATATTTTTTATGGTAGTACCATATTTTTCTTTCTTTCTTTCTTTCTTTCTTTCTTTCTTTCTTTCTTTCTTTCTTTCTTTCTTTCTTTCTTTCTTTCTTTCTTTCTTTCTTTCTTTTCTTGTGGAGTGAGGAGCACTGGGAATCAAACTCAGGGCCTCACACTTGCCAAGAGCCATATCCCCAGCCCACCGTACTATTTTTAACCACTGTGATTTTTGAAATCCAGGCCTGTACCACCCAGGGTTTTGCTCTTGTTTAGGACTGCTTTGCCTGGATATGACCTTCCCTCTATGGAACAGTTTAAGGAGTAGAAATCTAAAGAATCAGGCTCTACTTTATTTACATTGTTTCTGGTTATTGTTTGTTTGTTTTTAGTACCGGGAAAGGAACTCGGGTCCTTGCACTTGGAAGGCAGATTGTGGAACCACTGGGCTAAATTCCCAGCCCTGTTTCTGTTTTTCGTTCTGGAAGGAAGCTCAGAAAGGCAGTGCCTGCAGAGTATGAAAAGGCCCCTGGATACAAGACCTGAGCTGTTTCTTCTTTCCTTAACCCTGGTGAAATCCATATGGTCATGTACGTGCAGAGAGCCTATTAGGTGATTGCTTTCTAATTTTGTGTAGGAAGTTACCCAGAATTTATTGTTTTAAAATAAATTACTGCAAGCATAATGGCTGAAAAACCACATACAATTATTATCTCACAGCCCCGTGGCTCATTATTCTATGGGATCTTGTTTCTCTGTGTTGGGCCTTAAAAGAGTGGAATCAAAATTTGGGGCAAACTGTGTTCTCATCCAGAAAGTCTGAGGTGGAATTCTCTTTGAAATTTCTTGAGATTACTGTTTTCAGAATCTAATTCCTTTCGTTGTGGGAATGAGGTCCTTAATTTCTTGCTTTCAATGACAGGAAGCTCACTCTCAATTCACAAAAGCCATTACCGGGTATTTTTGTGTAGCCTTTCCCCATCTTCAATCCAGCAGGGGTGTGTCAAATATTCCTAGCTTGTCTTCTCATGCTGCCAACTGGAGATGGTGCTGTGCTTTTGAATGGCGTATGGTTGCAGGTCAGGCCTGCTGAGAGAATCCCCTACGTGAAGATCAAGTGACACCTGCAAAGTCACTATTGTCTTATAATATAATTTTGAGAGGAATATCAAAGTAGTCAGCAGGATCAGGCAAGGGAATACATTAAAAACAGGACACACAACTTATAATGTTATTTTATGATTAATACCCAAAGAGTCAAATTCAAGGAGTACAAGAGATTAACTGCACACTAGGTGCCCAAAACATTCAACTGAGGGCCTGGATCCCAGCAATGTCCCACACAAGTCCAGCTGAAGGCTTACAGTCCAAGGCAGTGTCCTCCTCGAGTCCAGCCAGTGGCCTAGAGCCCATGGCAATGTCTCATGCTTGTCTATATTGAGGATCTGCACCTGGAAGGCCCAACGGCCAGTGGTGGAGCCAGAAAATCCATGCTTGTGATGAAGGATTTATGCCACCAAGCTGAGATCCACAGTGAAGCCAGGAAGTGATGCTCATGGTAAAGATCAGAGCTCCCCTGATGAAAGCAGTAGCCATTTCCAGTGACAGCGAGGTCTTGAGCTCCTTCTTCGACACGAACAGCCTAGTTCATGTTAGGAAAACCACCTGCAGCAAGCTTCTCCTAGCAAATCAACAGGCCAAGGTCTTCCTCCCCAGTTCTTTTTTATGGCTCTTGGTAACAATCTTCAGGTGGATCCTCCATGCCCAGCCCACACTGATTCAGTTCAGCTGGGCATTACAAGGTGACCATTAGTCAATCCACTACAAAGAGTAAAGTTAATCTGAGACCATCTTGGAATTCTTCCAAATAAAGAGAGAAGTTAATATAGCAGCAGTTGGAGTCCTAATGCCTAGGATTTGTGGTTCTAGTCCCTTCCTAATCCATAGGCCTTGCAGCTCCAGCATTTGAGTCTGGCATTTCCATATCACTTTCATAGGGAAGTGTTTCTTTGCATACACATCACTGTGACTTGAATGACCAGAAAACACCCAGTTTAAGATAAGCAGATAAGTTTGCAAGGTAATTTGATGTTTTGTGGTTAAATATTCTGTCTCTACTAAGGTCAAATGTTTCTCAGAAGTACCCATATGCACATTTATTATTTCTG